CACTTGCCAATGCAAAGTTTTATCGTGAATTCGAAGCAGAATACGAGGTTAATGTCAATGTTGTCATGGTTAAACGTCGTATTGATGTCATCGGTAAGCAAAGTCAAGCCTACGAGTGTGCTGAACTCATTCGACAAATGCTTGAAATGTTTCACGCTGATATGCCAACCAGCACAACAGCTGATGCTGTTTGTCCAATCTGCATGTCATCCGCAGAGGTACCATACAATTTGCAAGCATGTGGTCATCTTTACTGTCGTCAATGTTTATACTCATATTTGGAGTCGAAATATGATGCAACAGCCAATTCTGAATCGTTAAAAATAGTATGTCAGATTGACGAGTGCCAGAAACCATTACTCGTACGAGATATCAAATCGATAGCTGCTATGAGTATAGGCAAACTTGCGAAGGCAAGGTTCCAAGCATATTTAAGGGAACATGAAGAGTTTAGTGAATGTTTTGGTATCGATTGTAAACAGGTAAACTTTTGTGTTGTACCCGAAAAGTATTTTAATCGTGCTGAATGTAGGTGTACCGTCCGTCAGACAATCAGATGACATACATGTGTGATGGCTGTCTAAAAACCTATTGCATTCTATGTCGTGCAGAATATCATGACGGTATCACATGTGAAGCGTTTCAAGAAATTATCAAGCAGCGTGACGAAGCATTATTGAAAGAGAATAAGGGTAATTTCGATATATATAATCGCTACATCTAGCACTGCTCTATTCACAAATAGGTACACTGATCATTCTCAACTGTCCTGGATGCAATATATTATTGGAGAAACAAGATGGTTGTAATGCAATGAAATGTACTCAATGTAACACTCAGTTTTGTTTCTTATGTAAAGTCATTCATCCGACTGATGGTAATGAGTAATTTTCGTGATTTTCAAATGTTAACTACTTTATTTTATAGCTCATTTACATTTTAACGACCGAACATCAAAATGTTATGGGAAATTATTTGAAGGCCTTTATGACAATATTTGAACAAAATGAAGCAATTGTTTCTTGTTTGTAAAGCTAATAGTAGTGTACTTTTTATACTGAATACTTTTTCGTAATAAAAACTGCTTTGTCTGGCTAACCAAACTGTCATTTCGATGACTTTTGCGTAGCCTCATCTATGGTAGGGTATCAGATATGTGTATGCGACAGACAATTGCTGGCCTAGCCGGATCCGTTATCTTAATTTGCGATGCCAGATACGACGGGGAGATGGTGACAAAAGAAGGAGGTTTTAAACAAACACGACTTTCAGTCAATAAAGATGTAAAGAACGAGCTGTTGTTTTGACTTGGTC